AGCCCAGCAAATGCACTGATAAATCATTCTGGTGCACCGATGAATCATTCTGGGGCACTGATAAATCATTCTGGTGCACTGATAAATCATACTGGGGCACTGATAAATCATTTTGGTGTGCTGATAAATCATTCTGGTGCACTGATAAATCATTCTGGTGGTTCGCCCTTTGCAGTGATAAAACAAGACGACGTTAGATTCACATGCTAGCGCTGTTCAGGGCTGGGATGACGACGACCTAGTGAAGAATAACAAGCCTACAGCTCCATCTGGTGAGTCAGCAAGCCAGCGACCTTGGCATACTGGAATTAAAATAATAAAAAAAACCCAACACTTCACTGAATTACACCATCCGCAGCTCCAGGATTTACTTGCAGAAGAAGAGATGAAAAGGACACTAATTCTCACAAACAAATCCTTAGAAGACACCTCTCAGGCCTTCTCTATTTTCAGTTGTACTCACTGGCGAAGCTCAGAAAGTGGTTTTAGATGAAACCTCTGTCTTATACTAAGTGAGATTCCATTAAATAGTCCCTCTGTGCTATAAACATGAGAGTAAACTGGCACAACTCCTTTAAACAAAGGAGGGGAAAAAATCCTGCTTCTAGTTCTAGCATCGGAGATTTAATTAGTTCTGGACAACAGAAGACAGCTCAATGAAAATATTTAAGTGGCTGGAGGGCTGGAGCCCCTCTGCTCTGAGGCCAGGCTGGGAGAGTTGGGGCTGTTCAGCCTGGAGAAGAGAAGGCTGCGGGGAGACCTGAGTGCGGCCGGTCAGGGCTTAAAGGGGGACGATAGGAAAGATGGGGACAATCTTTTTAGTAGGGCCAGCTGTGACAGGGCAAGGGTGATGGTTTTAAACTGAAGCAGGGTAGGTTTAGACTGGATCTAAGGAAGAAATTCTTTACAATGAGGATGGTGAAACCCTGGCAGGGGTTGCCCAGAGAGGGGGTGGAGGCCCCATCCCTGGGACCATTCCAGGCCAGGTTGGACGGGGCTGTGAGCAGCCTGATCTGGTTGAAGGTGTCCCTGCTCCCTGCAGGGGGGTTGGGCTGGGTGACCTCTAGGGGTCCCTTCCCACCCAAAACATTCTAGGATTCTATGATTCTATGAAAACAGGCACTTCAAATGCCGTTTCTGCTGTTCTCCTTTGCTCAGCGGGAGGAAGATATGTTTAACACAAGTTTGTTTTTCAACTCGAAGAGTATGAAGGGTTCTTACACAAAGTGTTTTTCATCTGCAGAGCCTTTTATAAAGATTAATTAATTCTCACATCACCAAGAGAGTTAAGCCAGGCATACTCATGTAGGAGAAAAACGTGCCCAGTACTACACAGGCTCAACACCTGAAAATGGAATTCCAAGACTGGAATGGGCTGCTGGTCCCGCATTCGGACACTGTGAATTCTAAGTCAGAAATAACTTCATGCAATGTTCCCTTTTCAGCAGCGACATATTGCAATGTTCTCTTGTGAAGCATTTTCTGACGGTACCTATGGTTCAGAGCGTGCCAGATACAACACTTGCTGTCGACACCGTAGTCTCAGCTAAGAAAGCACTCAGAAAATGCTATTTTTGCTTTGAATCTCAATTTTTTAGTTACAAAATTCTCTCCTGTACTTATGCAATGGCTGAGAAAGATTCGGTCCAGCCCGAGCAGGTGAATTTAGTTTTCTGGGTATCATCATTGTATCTAGCTGGACTTTTTTCTGTATTCCTTGCTCTAAGATGCTCATAGCTTCTCGCCTACACTCTTCCTCCCGCTCCAACTTCACTACCTCTTAAGCACAAAACCCCAAGCTATTGGTTTTCCTTTCACTGTGCTGGATTTGACGTGGTAGGTATCTCTGTTCTGTGACACATGCAGATTTTACAGAAACCCCATCCCTTCTCCAGCATCTGATCTACACAAAAAGCACCACGCTGCTGCTCAGGATAAACTTATTAATGTGAATCCAGACCACACTATTTTAGCTATAACCAAGAGGTTTCAGCTCCCCAAAATGCTGTGTTGCTTATTTGCGACAAAGAGTTGTTCTAAAAAATACCTTCCCCAATTAGCATGCTTGGAAGGAACATCCCACAGCAAAAGGCAGCTCTGCCGTCATTCCAGAAGGATACAAAGGGGCGTTGCTTCCGATACTTTCTCAATTTCATATTGCACGGAAGGAAAGCTCTCATTCCCGTTTTTATACGATCTTCCCTTCTACAACCAGAAAGAGCACTATCAAAGCGTACAGCACGTCGTTATGGATTAGAGGCACACAGGTTCTTCTTGGCCAGTTAAAATAGGCAGAGGAATTTGCAGCATTACTGTACTTAACCAGCAAGATAAGACTAAAAGAGGGAGGGTGTGATCCATCAACGGAGCAGCGGCCTGACACTCTATTTTTAGCTTACTCTAAAAGCAGAGCTGGAAATGGTTTCATTACTGAGTCACTCCAGATAGGATAAACCATCTTAGAGCTCAATTTTTAAAATCACTTTACAGCGTTGTCTTAGTTCTTCCTCTTCACCCTCAAACTACAAGAAGTTCATTAAATCTGTTCTGTTACACTGAGATAAACGGGCTGGAGTAGCACTGAAGTTACCACGAGAAGCAAAACGTGTCCTGTGAATTAAAAGAACATCTTGAACAGAAGAACAAATTCCTGCATGTCTTGATTTGTCGGTATTTCTTGTTACTGACAAATACAAAACCATCGCCCTGTATCGGGTCAAGCTGCATAGCGCTGGGCTTTCTATTGGTATGCAGAAAGGGGATGGTAACACACCCATGTTTTGGCCACTGCTGAGCAGTGCTTGAACAGCACCAAGGCTGTGCCCCCAACTCCCAAACCACCACCAGTGGGCTGGAACGGGGCAAGATCTTGGGAGGGGACGTAGCCAAGACACCTGACCCAAAGCAGCCACAGGGATATTCCATACCACATGACGTCAGCTCAGATATAAAAACTAAGGGAAAAGGAAGGGTGGGGGGGGAAGGGCATTCGTCTTTTGTGTTTTCTCTTCCGGAGCAACAGCTATGCCTACTGAAGCCCTGCTTCCCGGGAAGTGGCTGGGCGTCGCCTGCTAATGGGAAGTAGAGAATAAAATCTTGTTTTCCTTTTGCTACTGCACGCGGCCTTTGCTTTTGCTTTTTTATTAAACTGCCTTTATCTTGACCCAGGAGTTTTCTTTCTTTTCCATCTCATTCTCTCCCCACCTGCCCTGCTGAAGAGGGGAGCGATAGAGCAGCTTGGTGGCCCCTGGCGTCCAGCCAAGGTCAAACCACCACATGCCGTAAGGTAAACAGACTCCATTTTAATAAACCATTCTGGTTTTAATCTGACAACTATGAGCTTTCTTACAATCTATGAGAGAGGAACAAAAATCTAATTCCTAATGGTTCCTTAGCTCTTTAATGGACTGGAATTTTTGAGCTCTAAGGAACAGGTCCAAGACAAAGTACATGCACGCAAATCTCCATTTATTTGGGTTTTTACTGGTAGTGCAGACGGGTATGATGACTACATGGTGTGAGACGAGATAGATAGAAAAAAATATATATATGCCCATAGTAAACGTTGTAAAAGGATGATTTATAAGTAAGACTGCAGTATGAAAAAGTCAGTGTAGTAGAAAAGTAAGGCCAGTATCCCCATTCCCCAAGCTACACAGCCTGAAATGAGGAACTAGGAATTTTGAAGAAGCAATTCACTTCATACCGATAGAACGGCAGAAAGGATGACGTATGTCATTAGCCAGTGAAATGGCCTACGGCACGTTCTTACCGAACCATCCTGATTCAAAGTGAGCATGGCATACCGACTGACTGCAGGGAGGTGAAGGAAACATTACGTAGAGTGTTCGCCAGTTATCCCTTTAAAGGACAAGAGGAAACGGCCTCAAGTTGTGCCAGGGCAGGTTTAGGTTGGACATTGGGAAAAATTCCTTCCCCCAAAGGCCTGTCAGGCTCTGGAAGGGGCTGCCCAGGGAAGGGGTCGAGTCCCCATCCCTGGGGGGATTTAAAAGCCGGGCAGATGAGGTGCTTAGGGCCATGGTTTAGTGGTGGGATGGCAGGGTTAGGGGAACGGTTGGGCTTGATGAGCTTAAACGGCTTTTCCAACCTGAATGATTCTGTGATTCCATGATTCTAAAGGGCACAAAAGGCTACTTGATTTGGCAGTTCCCATCCTGTGCAAGGAAACAGAAATAAGCCTGGTCTTCAACCAGAACAATCATCTCTGGAGTTTAATTTCAAGGAAGTTATCTAGCTATACAGAATTGCCCCCTGCCACCCCCACCCCCCCGAACCACACAACCCCAACAACAAGAAGCAAAACAATGTACATCCATCGTGATTTTTGATCAGTGAACTGAATATATAAAACTAGATCTGGGCTTACATGTATGCCTCATACAACAATGTTTCCGTTTAAAATAGCATTAAGATTTTCAATCTAGAACTGCATTAAAGCACAGATCAAAAGGGAACACACACAACTCAGCTTCTGTCAGTTTAACAAACAATTCCGAGCTTGCAGTGGGAGATTAATTATATATATAAATATATATAAAATGCTATAACTCACAGGTACACATTTACACACCAGTCAGGCATACTGTAAACAAAGCTCCCTTTCCCAGTATTGCAATGACTCACTTCACCGGTACGTCAAACAGAATCAAGACATCATTTATTTTAATAGGAAGGAAATGTTTCCTATTCCGTGTGGTTCGTAACAATGCTCATTTCTATTCAGTGATGCCATGCAAGCAATCCAAGAAGTCAGGAGTAGACTTCTACAAACTGCTTTGTAAGCTCACCTGCGCTGCCCAACTGGAAATAATCTGCGTGTGTGCTCATTCCATTCGACGTTAAACAAAAGCGATAGTAAAGACGGGAGAGAGACACTGGAATTCAATACAAACCTCGGGAGCCATTATATTCGGATACTTAGAAGTTTATCATACATCCAGTACAAGCACTCCTAAATACAGACGTGATTTCTTCTTTGCTCAAGTTTCTTCCTCAACATTTGCTCCTGACTTTTTTTCTAGTATGACTTCAAAACAAAAACAAAAGAGCATTTGATATCAGACTATTTCATGTCAATCACAACAGCAAGAGGTACAAATATTCTTGGAAATACAGTGTGCATCAAGATTGGGCTCTGAATGGCTTTACTACCACACACTGTGTATTGCATAAATCCACACTAAACACAACACTGCATACACTTCATTTGACAAGCGAGTGCATCTGTGCATTTGTATATATGCTTCTCCATTCCTTGAAGCTCCGACACTCAAACTTTAGGCACCTGTGTGCATGAAAAAGAAGCTTTAGAAAATACAGTACTTCAATTAAGAGCGAGCAAAGAGATGTGTTGGGGCGCTCAGGAAATGGTGCTCTGGTGGGATACAAGACAAGGCTTAAATGAATCGCAACTCAACATCAGTGCAAACCACATTGGCTACAGAGTCTGCAGGGGGCTCTGAAATACATGTGAAGACAGCTGTTATCACTGGAGTTACCCCTCTAAAAACACCTCTCTATTGCAACAGCTCCAAACAGTGACACGGTTTTGTGCCATCTTGAAAGACAGACCCAGAGTTCGAGAAAGATACTTTCACTAGACAAGAGCAGGAATTCTGTCTCCCTCACATTAGGTGATTTAGCTTGGTGATTGGGAATCTAAAGTACCTAAAACGTCCTCTGATGGTTTGAGAAACTTCAAAAAATACTACGGTGCTCTTGTTCTAGGGCTTCAGTTTGCCCTCCTTCACTAACTGCTCATTGAGCTGGCAAAGCTGCCTTAGAAAGCCATCATTGGGGCCAATCTCTCGCTTCTGCCGGACAGTGCTCAATGCAGACTTGACATCCATATTCTGGCGAAGCATGAGGTAGGCGATGACCAGTGTAGGAGAACGGCTGTAGCCCTCACGGCAATGCACAAACACTTGTCCTGCAGGGAAGACAGGTCATAATTTGGGTTATACTGGAATACATGGTTGAAAAGCAACATGAAATAGCTAGGATATAAAGCGTAATCATATTAGTCCTTCAGCAGCTTGAGCAAAGTAAATTCTGAATGCTACAGAAGACACAGAACTTGGAAGAAAGGTGCTTTCACTCTGCTAGTTAGCTACATGGTCTGTCATCAAGGATAATGCAGAAAAAAATATGGTTGTGTATCAAACATTCACACTAAAACATATTTGCTGCTATATTACAAAGAGTCAGACCGTGTCTATTTACTACACTTCTCCACTCTTTTGTGGTTTAGAATAAGCCTTGTCCCTAAAGATGACCAGTACCAGAAATATGCTGTTTGTCATATGTTCCATCTCTTCAAAGACATCCAGCTTTTTTGCTGCATTGCTGCCAATTCCTATGCTAACTGCATGCTGGATCATACCTGGCTACTTCTCTGGCTATTTATGAAGCCACATTAACACTCAAGTAAATGAAACTGCTGACCATGCAGCAACAAGAACCAGAAACATCTAATCACACCTATGTCAGCACCAATAAAATGCTTCCAACTAACTGATTAGGGAACTCATTCTACATACTTGTTTGGTTATATTGGGTTTGTGTGGCGAAGTTTTGGCATTGAGGGGGTGGGCTACAGGGATGGCTTCTGTGAGAAGCTGCCAGAAGCTTCCCCTATGTCCGGCAGAGCCAAAGCCAGCCGGCTCCAAGATGGACCCGCGGCTGAGCCCATCAGTGACGGTGGCAGCGCCTCTGGGATAAAATTCTTAAGAAGGGGAAAAAAACCCTGTGCAATTGCAGCCAGAGAGAGGAGTGAGAATGTGTGAGAGGAGCAGCCCTGCAGACACCCAGGTCAGTGCAGCAGGAGGGGAGGAGGAGCTCCAGGCACCTGAGCAAAGATTCCCCTCAGCCCCTCGTGCAGCCCATGGTGGGGCAGGCTGTGCCCCTGCAGCCCAGGGAGGCCCACAGGGGAGCAGATCTTCCTCTGCAGCCCAGGGAGGACCCCATGATGGACCAGGGGGGTGCCCGAAGGAGGCTGTGACCCCGTGAAGAGGAGTCCAGGCTGGAGCAGGTTTGCTGGCAGGGCTGGTGACCCCACAGGGGACCCACACTGGAGCCGTCTGCTCCTGAAGGACTGCACCCCGTGGGAAAGACCTGTGTTGGAGCAGTTTGTGGAGGACTGTCTGACATGGGAGGGACCCAATGCTGGAGCAGGGGAAGAGAAAGAGGAAGAAGAAGGGGCAAAGACCATGTGTGATGAACTGACCCCAACCCCCATTCCCCATCCCCTCGTGCTGCCTGGGGGGAGGAGGTAGAAAAAATCAGGAGTGAAGTTGAACCCAGGAAGAAGGGAGGGGTGGGGGAAAGGTGTTTTAAGATTTGGTTTTATTTCTCATTATCCTATTCTTATTTGATTGGCAATAAATTAAATTACTTTCCCCAAGTCGAGTCTGTTTTGCCCATGACGGTAATTGCCAAGTGATCTCCCTGTCCTTATCTCAACCCCACGAGCCTTTTGTGCCTTTTGTCATGTTTTTCTCCCTCTGTCCCGCTGAGGAGGGGAGTGATAGAGCAGCGTCCAGCCAGGGTCAACCCACCACGTGGGTAAATCCCATAAGTAGGTATCCAACAATAACAAAGCAGGCCACTGATCCCTTTGAGAAATCTAACTCGATTTTATTGCTTCTCAGCCTCTTCCTCTTTGGCCTGCTTTTCCAGGCACAAAACTTTTCCCCTTCCCAAATGCAGTGGGAGATATGGCCCAGGCTACTCTCCAGAGTAACTTTTTTCCTGAGACAAGAGAACAGATGAACCATACACACACATTTTCATCATAACCACAACTTTGCAGCAGAAAGCCCATTACCACATTTGCCTTGAGCTACAGAGGCTTCTCAGCTCAAGGCAAATCTCTAATCAGTAGCAAGTTAAACAGCTACAACAATTCATTCTCAACATTTTTTGAGAGCCCGTAGCCATCAATTATCAAGATTTAGTGATTCTTCATCATATACATGGAAGCGAATTGACTTCCCCTCTGGAAATGATCAGAAGCAAAAGGGTTTCTAGCCTTCCTTCCTCTGTGAAAGGCAGCGTCTTAAGGGCGGCCTTCCAGACCTTTAGTATACCAGACCTGCCTTCCGGAACTTCATGCAACTACAACACTAAAATAAAATTGAAGGAAAATATCACTGCATCCCTCTTCACTTCACTGTCCTTACTCTACACTTCAGCATCAGACAAAACTATCAAATCGCAGTAGCGATTTGTAGTAGAGTGAATATTAAAACTGGCTCCAGCATCACCTGGCTACAAAGTTCCGCTGTTTGCCACAGTAAGAAAACAGTGGCAGGCATGGTAGACAACTACGAAGAACGAAAGAATCAGCAAACAGAACTGCTGCTGTAAATTCAGATTGCCTCTGCAACTGGTTAGATCAAACTGAGTAGGGACAGTCATGGCACAGCTGGCCCTGTTAAACTCTTCTGTCCTACTGCAACCTGTTTCGGTGAGACACATTTCAGTTTTTAGAATTGTCAATACTTCACCAAGCTGGGGGTAAAAAATTCCTTCCATCTGTCACAAGCACATCACAGCTCCAGTACCCTTTTTGCCCATTTCAGAGAAAGAGCTTCTAGAATTGTGGGAGTTCTTGTTCCTCCTTTTTCATGTTTAGTCACGAAGCGAGAAAGAAATTAAGCATGCGTAGAAATAACTGGTATGCTAAAATAGTCGAAAACCAACAAACACCATCTGACCCACTGCACTACGTCCTAGGATTTCTGCTCTGAGGAAACACACTGTAGAGAAATGTGGCAATCAACAAGATTGCAAATATCATCTCCAGCCTTCCTGCAATCCTAGGGAATAATGAGGTAATAATCATCACATAAAATAATATAATGACTTAATGTAATAAAAATTGTAAGGCCACAGTCTCTATCCTTACTATACATTTGGAAATAAAAACCATACAGGAGGTTGTGAGAGTACTCTTCAGCAATGCATTACTTGTATCACTTCTGCCTTTAGTTTTCAATTTCTAGTGTCCTAAGCTAACTTTTAGATCCTGAACTTTTTTTTTTCCCCATGTGATTTACCACTTCTAAGGAAAAATAAGAACAGATCTTCCCAGGAAGGCACTATTATAGGATGCAGCAGCTGTTTCACTTTTCAAAGTCACCCCTACGGTGACAGACTTCCATTTGCCATGTACTGGAGACCTATATGTACAGACAGAAGATTAAGATGTCTTATCGTGTATTCTGGTGTCTTTGATCCACAGCCTTGATGTGAATTCCTGACTTGGCTGTTCAGCTGATAATCTGAGCAAAGAACCATTTTAAACAGTAAAATAAATTGCTAAGAAACATACGCAGTGCACAGAAAACATGGTAGAAAGATATTTTGGTTTGCCTTACCATCCTTCTGGGAAAGTGCTTTCTCAATAAAATCAGCTGCCTCCTCAAAATAGCGACTGAGGTTAAATTCTTGTGTATCGTTAGCTTTAATGCCATGGTATGTGATGCCTGTGCCTTCATAGAACTCTGCATTAGTGTTCACATGCATGAATGACTTCCCCTCTGCTGCATTCAGAACATGGGTTATCCCCAGACGCTGCAGCCTCATAATGTTCTTGGCTATGAACCTGTATGATAAAAAGTGTCAAGAAAACGATTAGAACTCGGTGAATCATCTCAGTATTTATGATGTCCCCAGAAGGTATTGCTAGCCAAAATCTTTGATTTTTCTGTAAGTCAATGCTAAATATACTGTGCCCCGAAGTGAATTAGCTACAGATTATAAATTCACAGAAATATTTAGAGCCACGGTCACTACTGTGCATGAGAGAACGCTGCTTTCTTGGCTGACAACCGAGCAGAGCACACATGAAACTTAATCTGTCGCAGCCTACTATGGCACAGAATTAGAACTCTTTCTGAACGCAAAATTCTGACCAAAGTAAGAAAATACTGGAGATAACAGAAAGCCCGGGATAGTCACTTCTAAGATTAACTGTTATTTACATAAGATAATTTAAAAACCAGTTAGAATAAGCCTCTACTGTCAGCTACCAGTATTGCAGGGCTAGGTAAGCAGTACTTGCTACTCCAGCAGACAGTCCAGACAAACAGACATTTTATTTAGGGGGCAATTTTAACCACTGTGAAACAGCACCGGCTCCTCCTCAGGCCACAGGAAGATAGAAAGTAACTGTGAATAAATGTTCCTGCATCTTCGAAGGTCTCACCTATGAGTTGCAGTCCTCTGTCCCTGTGCTATTCAACATGTTTGAAGTCATGGAATGATCTGGCAAGGCTGTCATCCAAAGGCCAGCAATATAGCGACGCAATTCAGCCTTCGCCACTCAAGTGTTTTCGTCACAAGTATTGTAATTTTTAGTGTCTTAGTTGAAATGAATATGGAAAATATGGAAAAGAATCCAGGTGAGTGATGTTTAAGAAGCCCAAGTGCTTCAGAAAGCATTCAGTACTTTCAGGTCAGCTAAGCCCTGCCTAACTCCTCTGGTTCTATCAAGTAACTGTAGCAAACCCAGCACCTTTCAGTGGCTAGAAGCACCTTGCCCTGTTACCAAACACTGAGCAGGATGATCACGCCTTTCAGGCTTGATGATGACAATGAATTAGATCCAGCAATAATGCCATAAACTCTGATAAAAGCTCCAGGTTTCTAGAATGGCAAACAACCCATCTACTTAGTAGCACAACTGATCCTGCACAAACCTCTACTTGTGCACTGGAGCACGATCTGTAGTTAAGAGGAGATAACCATTGAGTAGTATGAGGAGACCATTGACTCCTTTTTGTCATAAACCCACTGCTTTTCATTCTGAGTCTGATTATTTCCATATGTCAGTCCCAATATCTGCATCACTTTCCTGGGAAGAAAAAAACCCCAACATACGTTTTATCACACCATGGGGCCTCCTAGTAAGATCTGAGTCCACTGGTCAACACTGGCAGAATGGGACAGAAGGCTTTTGCTGAAAGCTAACTCAGTTCCTGCACACTTTGTGAAAAGAGGTAGCCTACACAGGCATAAATCCCTTTATTGTTTTTAAAGGCTGCTTTCACTATGTGTCTAACTGGATGTGGAAACTGAAATCCTTTAGAAAATCTCTACAGCTCAAGACAGAAATGCAAATGCAAATACAGAGTCTTAATATTAAGCTGAGCTCCGGATAAGCATTTGCACGGTATCTTTTTGGGCAAGTTTCTGAGACGTGGCAATGCACCTAACAGTTTTGGCTGGACACTTAGCTATTCTAAAAAAGTTAAAATAAATACCCAAATTAGTTGGTTTGTATCTATATGAATCTGAGTGCATTCACTCACAATTTTGATGTAATTCAAGGCTATATGAACATCTAGAGTCTTCCTTTTCGCCTAATGACCGATCACCCCTTAAACTGTAGTGCAAGCAGATGAATCCTTATGCACTAGTGAAGCTTCTACATTTTCTGCTGTCTTTGCCAAACAACTATGGCAACGAGCCAAATATTTGTAAAGACTTCATTACCCAAACAAATGTTGACAGATTTTCCATCTGGCGGGACATCATCTGTGCCAGGGGGACAAGTATCAGTGCCTGGGGAATTCTGCTTGCAACACAAAAGAAATCCTACAGTATAAGGCCAAAATAAAAAGTGTTAATTCAGCTGTGAGTGAGTTCCTTTGCTTAGTGGGGTGAGTATATGGTTTAGGTAATAGTATATATCTGATAGTGGACAGGATCAATAGGAACTCACGTCCTGGAACCGTGGTTGAATCTGGCAATGCAGACTGGCTCCCCTGAAGGCAAATTTCTTCTCAGTGAATGATTTTTGCAGATTTTATAGATGGTTTTCTTACACAGCTAGAGGTGAAAAAGAGAGTATTTGTATGCCATTTTTTTCTCCCTTTCCAAACAGTCCTTGGATCTCTCCCATCCTTAACATTTCATTCCAGCTGCATCATGTTCCATGTTGAAATGCTAGCTCCTCCAAATAGCACACAGACGCTAATATCAGCTCCTTCTATTTCCCTAGGAAAAATCACAGAATCTTGCTTGTTCTCAGCATGGAAGACTGAGAGTTCCTTGTCCTGTGAGTAGCACTAGTAAGAAGGGTTTCTTTTGAACAGAGATGGAACAATTTTACCAGCCGCAAAACACGGGCCTTGGAGAACCATGCATCAGCAATTAAGGGTACATGAGGCTTTAAAGTGTTGCCATATGGGATTATAAGCAAATAAACCAAATCCTTAATGGCAAAAAATGCCGGCACATTAACACATTTTAATTTCCACTGTGATGTTCACATAAAATTGTTTCCTCACCGCTTCTTCCCTTACAGTCACTAAATTTAGTATTAATTCTCGGAGAATGCCTTTCATACTCCTTACGATACACGCGCACTTCTAGCACATTAAGAACAAATAATTGCTTCATGGGTTGCCCACACACATTACAACAGACAGAAAACTCAGACCGGGCATTCGTAACCAGAACCTTTTTACCAAATACAGTTCTGGAGACGTGGCTTGAATTGTTACAGGCTTCCAATAGCCTGTGAAAAAAACCCACGAACAGGTTCCCTTAGCCGGCAGTTCGGAAAGCTAAGCCTGCTGGCTTTCTGGCAAAGCACTGGTTTTGACAAGGCACGGTTGCTCTGAATAAAACCCCTCCCCTCCAGCGTGTTGACTGCTCCCCCCATTTTGGTGTCCTCTGCAACCCTGACAAAGATGCGTTCTGTCCAAGCGTCCTCGTCACCGATTAAGATGTTACACTGAAACACAGCTGGACTTGTACAGAAATAGAAAACGATTTGTATTTCCAGTGTATCCTGAATTCTTATTTTGTTATTGCTTGAAAAATACCTAATTGTGCTTGTCAGTCACCTATATAATTCTTGTTTCAGTGATACTACATTTTTACTCTTGTCTTCACCAATCTTGTCTAATTTTCTTGAGAGGTTACAACTGTCTAGTGCCATATGCAAAAACATTCTTCTCAAAATATTTTATCATTTTCCCTCTGTATGTTCATTAATTATGACTTTCATGTACTGCATGGAAGATCTTTGGCTCTGCCTGTAACGTGCAGTTATTTGACAGATAAATTTTTATTCTACACTATGACCCAATTTACTCTCATGCGCCTGAATGTCTCTGGGTTGTCATTTTTGTCTAAAGATGAGTTACTCATAAGGAGAGACAGCAGCACCCTTATGCAAAATATTCTAAAGGGTTTCCAACAGGATTTTCTGAATCTCACTCAGACGTTTTAATTCTTTCCTGTGACTTCCTGTACCAATTCTATTGCTTTCATACCATGTGTTGGGATTCCAATCCCCCCATGTTAAAACTCTACAGATGTGGCTACTCTGTGAATTCTTACTGTTATAAAATCTCTGCCGCTGTAGTCATAAATGCGGCAGAAAGGTTTGATCCACCCAAGTCAAAGCAGAGATTCAAACGTCAGATCAAATGACTGCGTTACTTTGCTCTCCTGCTGTATCTCCTTCCCGGATTTCCCTGTAGCCCAACGCAAAGTGCTCCTGATGACTCCTCAGAGATTCAGTGAAGAGATTTGTGCAGCAAAGGCCAAAGCCGAGATACAAGGTGAGCGCCAATCAGATGCACGCTGCACCACGGCAGATTCAAATACAAGATGCCTTCCAAGCTCTGCGCAGATGCTAGAGCAGAACAAGCCAGGCTCACGTACTGCAACTCCAGGCCCCAAACACAGCTACGGCTTATTTCTTGCACGCAGTAGTAAAAGCTTTCATGATGCCTTGCGCACAGTTGGACCCATATGCACAAAGCCCCGAGAGGCTGAGCGCAAAGGAGGTTCACTTCCCCAGCAGTTTGTAGGAGAAGGAGTCAAGTCAGAAAAACAGATCCTTTCTTCAGCCTTATCTTTACACAAGGAGAGTCCAAAAGAGGGACATGCAGCTGGAAATGCTGTGAGGACAGAGCTGCACAGTTTCAAATTCTTTCAGAATGACAACTAATACAGCAAATGCTACATACAATCCAGTATACCACAACCCCACTTGATACAAAAAAAATCCTCTTAAGAATTAGCTTTATTTCCAGTTTGAGAATATCAAAGTTCGCCCTGCGGTGACTGAATCTCAACAGACATTCATCCATTCAACTAGACCTCAGCATTATCTTAACTCTCCGTGGCTGCTTCAAAGATATTATTGTCTACTAAGTCTTGATAAATTAGGCAGGTTGTCTGTTCCCACTGTGAAATAGCTTTTTCATCAGCCCACAAAGTTATTTCTTACCTCTAGCTGTCCTCCACGATTTTTCAGAATCCTTTTAAAAACGCTGACAGGAGAATTACAGCTTGTCTGTTAGTGCAACTAACAGCTAAACTGTTCTTACGCTACAAACTGCACCGGTGCTCTGGATATTTTTGGTTGTCATTTATTACATAAAAAGCCCTTCTCAGTGGTAAAGCTTTCCACCAGACAGGCATTTTCCATCCTGCAACTTACACACGCATTCTCTGTTCCTAGACAACCTTGCATCTGAATGTATTAAAGTCCATCCTGTATAATTAAAATCAATTACTGAACAATGAAAACTACTCTGCAGTAGCCAACCACCTTCAAAATTATTTTTAAATTATTTACTGTGCAAATCACCTTGCAGGCTATGACTTAATTTCTTCCAGGTAACTGCTAAAAATATAAAGGAGAAGGTAGTTGCCAGATGTCAGATTAGCCGTTGAGATAATAATTTCACTCCTATCTCTGGATGCACATGTCCTGCATCGACTGGCAGCAACAAATATAATTTGGTTCAGCTTAGGAGACAGTTAATGAAAACCTATGGGTTTGATCACATTTCTTTAGGAGTTACAAGCTTCAAATAAGAAGAGGGATCCAGTATACCACACACGTATCAAAAAGTCCCCAGTTTCACAGAGGTAAAGTGCACAAAGAGGGACAAAAAGGGGAAAGAGAATCAGCAGGATATGACGGGATCGGAACAGATAACTGAAAGCATAATCTTGGTGCAAAGAATAACTATCATACAACTGGGTAATGAAGTGCCATTGGTGAACCCTGAACACTTTTTCCCCATGTAAGGGCTTTCTTCATAGCCATACCTGTATCGCTCTGCCTCCCACCATGTGCACGAGTACTTACTTAGGGTGAGGTTTTTGAGGGCTTAGAGTGCAGAAACGTTTATTTGGCCAATCACAGACAGGGGTGGTGACTCCTGTTAAAGCCTTGCTTCCTTTTAGGTCATTTTGCACATGGTTAAAGCGAGATCTAATACCCATATGGCTGCTCTGCTCGTTCTTCGTGTTCCAGCTTATTCCACTCGGCTGACACACGGTTATCACCCTGGCGGCGTGACCGCCCTCCTGCAGGTGATGCTGGGCGTACGGCTCATGGCACCTCGTCCCTCTTCTGCGCGGGTGACCGCAGCTTGTTAGCCAGGGTAGGGAACACCAGGAGAAGGAAAAGCCCAGGGCCGACGCGGCTGAGCGGGCGCGTTTCACTCTTAAGCAACCGGCTGAGCTTTAATCTCGTTTCAGCTCTACTTTAGCTTTAGATTTGGGATCTCAGCGGGGTACCGAGCACTTCGGCGGGTGCCGGTGATGCGCTGCGCCCCCCCCC